GTTGGTAAGGTGGATAAACCTGGCAGCAGTATTCATGATGGACTGGAGGGGGCATAGACTATGTAAAGGTAAGCCAATGAGGAGGGGGAGTTGCAGTCGTCGAGGCGAGAGACAACCAGGGAGTGAATAAGGAGGAAATTGTTGGGGTGAGCTGAGGAGCACTATAGTCCATTTAACATGATTTCCTATGGGACACGTTCACATCTCTGCGTTTTCACCCGGTGCGTTTTTTGGAAAGGGTCAGGGACTTTTTTTAAATGCAAAAAGTTGCATTTTTGGTTCTATAGACCTCAATGGAAATGTTGCAAAAAAAGCATGTAGTGCATTTTTGCCACGATTTTGATGCTTTTTGAGTTTTAATTTGCCTAGCAGCAAGAATTTTTTTTTAAATGCAAATGCATCAAAAATGCAGCAAACACGCATGTGCAAAAACGCACTGCAGAAACAGATCAAACGCAAACTGCATAGGTGTGGTGTTAGGTGTTATGACTCCTCATGCTTGTTTCAGACCAGTGTCTCAAAACACTGAAACTGCACACAGCCAGGCATCTAGCATTTTAAGAGAGGGTGGGCAGAGGCCCCCATATTTCTCTTGCTACAAGCTCACTTTTGCTAGCTTGTATTTAGAGTAGGAGAGAAAACCATTAAATAACAAATCCAATGTTGGAGTCAATATTAACAGCATTTTTCCAGATATGTATAACACAAGTATTTGGATATTAATTGTATGGATTAAAACAATATTTAAAAATTGCAAATATTCAATAGAGAAGATGGGACTTTCAGTAAAAATATGAAATTAAAATTATATAACTTTTTAATATGTTTGGTATTCATGTTCATGCACCCTGAAAGTCCCATCTTCTGTATTGAATATTCACAATTTTAAGGGATGTGGTGCAATAGTCATATCTAGTCGCTTGCTCGCCACTTCACTATTACTAATGTTTAAACATTATTGTACATTAACCACTTGAGCTCCTGAGGATTTACCCCCCTTAATGACCAGGCCTCTTTTTGCTACTCAGCGCTGCACTAATTCAACTGATAATTGTGTTGTCATGCAATGCTGCACCCAAACGAAATTTATGTCCTTTTTTTCACACAAATAGAGCTTTCTTTTGGTGGTATTTGATCACCTGTGCGCTTTTTATTTTTCACGCTATAAACAAAAAAAGGCCAAAAATTTTGAAGAAAAACAATATTTTTTACTTTCAGCTATAAAAAATATATAGTAAACTCAAAGTTAGTTATAAATTTCGGCCAAAATGTATTCTGCTACATGTTTTTGGTAAACAAAATCCCAATAAGTGTATATAGATTGCTTTGTGTGAAAGTTATAGCATCTACAAACTATGGTATAGATACTGCAATTTACGCCATTTTTTTTGCTATACAGCGCTGCGCTAGTTTAATGGACAATTGCGCGGTCATGCAATACGGTACATAAATGAAATTTACATCCTTTTTTTTCCCACAAATTGAGCTTTCTTTCGGTGGTATTTGATCGCCTGTTCGGTTTTTATTTTTTGTGCTATAAAAAAAAAAGGCTGACAATTTTGAGGAAAAAAAACAGTATTTTGGAGTTTTTGCTATAAAACATGTCCAGTAAAAAAAAAAAATGTAAAAATCAAATTTAGTCATAAATTTCTGCCAAAATGCATTCTGCGACATGTCTTTGCTAAAAAAAAAAAACCCCAATGCGTGTAAATTAATTGGTTTACGCGAAAGTTATAGCGTTTACAAATGGCTAGAAAGATACTGAGATTTTTAGTTTTTTTTTTTTTTATACTAATAATGGCGGCGATCAGCAACTTATGGTGGCGATCAGTGACTTATGGAAGCGATCAGAGACTTATGGCGGGACTGCGGTGGACATTCTGACATTGGGAGGTACTGACTTGGGGTCACTGTCATCCCCAGTGACACCAATACAGTGATCAGTGCAAAAAAAAAAAACACTAACACTGTATTAATGGCACTGGAGAGGAAGGGGTTAAGTTTATTATTCAGGGAAAGGGTTAACTGTGTGAGGGGGAGTGTTTTACTAGGGGGCGGGGGTGTGTACTGCAGGCAACACCGCTGATCTGGAGAGAGAAACTCTTCTGTCCCGATCAGCGTGTCCTGGAGCTGTCAGATAACTGACAGAAAGCACAGCTGCTGCAGCTGTGCTCCCTGTCAGCGATTGCCGCCGATCGCCAGGACATAGCCGGTAATGTCCGGCTGTGACCCGGCGACTGACATCCGTGGCTGTGATCGCGGGACAGGTAGGGCGGTGGTGCGCCTCGCGCGCACCCCATACTTGTTTTCAAACGTGGTTTTGCCCAGCCGTGCCACCGTGCCGCCCTGCCGCCGTATTTATAACAGTGGCTGGGCAGCATGTGGTTAAAGTTTACAGATCTCAACAACCAGTGGACAAACAAACAGAGGATTTAGCATAGCAAGAGCCAACTCTTAGGCTCCAAGCACACTGGGTGTTTTAATAACGCTGGCAGTGTTAGCTGTGTAAAGTCAGGATAAAAACGTCAGTTTTTCAGTGTTTTAAGCGTTTTTGCATTAGCGTTTAGCCGTGTTTTGTTGCATTTTTCTGAGTTTGCATTTTTAAGCATTTTTTTTACACTAAAAAAAGGTCAAAAAGCTCCAGTTTGCCGTATTTTGTGATGTTTTAACATGTTTTTTCAGAGAGTTAGAGTATTTTTACAGTTAAAAACTCTGCTAGTTTTGGGCTCTTTTTCCAGCCAAAAAATGCTGATTACAGTCTACGTGTGCATGGGGAGTTTACTGGCTGTAGAAAAAAATGCCAAAAGCCAAAAACAGCCGCTGTAAAAATGTCCCATGTGCATGAGGACTTAGGCTAGGTTCACAGCTCTGCAGTGCTTTTTGTGGTGCATCTTGCATTTTTGCACATGTGTTTTTGCCACATTTTTGATGTGTTTTGCGTTTTTTTGGTACTGTGCAGAATAAAAACACAAACCTCATCAAAAACGCATCACAAATGCGTCAAAGACGCATCAAAAATGCATACAAAATGCACTATATGCTTTTCTGCAGCATCTCCAATGAAGTCTATAGAACCAAAAATGCAACGTTTTGCATTTAAAAAAGTCCTTGACCCTTTCCAAAAAACGCACTAGGTGAAAACGCAGAGATGTGAACCTGTCCCGTAGGAAATCATGTTAAATGGACTGTACTGAGTTTCTGCAAAAAGCTGCGGAAAACGCTTAGGTGTTAACCTAGACTAAGGGTAGCTTTAGACGTGCATGTAAATATCCCTTTCCTCTGAAGTCTGCTTCTGGATCACGCTGCAAAGACAACTGACAGGTGGTGAGGGAGAGATATGTCACCTTCTCATGGCCTGTTTTTAACCCCATTTTTGCCGAAAAATGTGCCACAACCTCATGCATTGCACATGGTTGTAGGGACGTTAGCTGTGCATCCCTATTTGCTTGACTGTGTAGCATTCAGTGAGTGGCTAACCATTGGGTGAACTTTGCCGTGGCCGTGAAGCATCGATGTCGCTGCATGTGAACATCCGCATCTGTGGCCTATTGCAGCTTAAGATGGGAGGGGGTGACCAAAAAGTATTTACAACAGCGCATTTTTTGTGCCCCCCCCCCAAAAAAAAAGTCTAAATGAAGCCTTAAATTTCATTTAAGTATAAGTATAGTTTAACCACCTCCGCCCCGCATCATAGCAGAAATACTGATACAGGGTGGCACAGGTGCGCAAAAATCATATATATATATACGTGATTTTGCAGTTCTGGGTAGGGTGGACCCTACCCCCGCCGCCATTCGTGGCCGTGTCTGTCAATCACTGGGTTCCTGCCGGTGATTCCCCGCCGGCACCCGGGAATCGCCAAGTATTACCATCAGGGGGGGAGAGACCTGTGTATAAACAATACAGATCTCTTCTGTCAGCTCCTGCACACTGCATTGCATGGCTCTGCATAGCAGAGCCATACAAAGCAGTGTGCCTACAGTGTAAAGCACAAACACAGCACACTGTAAAACAGCATACAGTTAACCCTTTGATCGGCCCACATGTTAATCCCTTCCTGCCCAGTGCCATTAGTACAGTGTCAGTGTTTTTTTATTAGCACTGATCACTGTATTGGTGTCACTGGGGATGTTAGTGACACCAAGTCAGTTCCTCCCAGTGTCAGTCCCGCTATAAGTCACTGATCACCGCCATTACTAGTGAAAAAAAAGAAAAAAAAAATTCCAGTATACTGTATATATACCTCCATTTGCAAACACTATAACTTTCATGTAAACCAATTAATTTACATGTATTGGGATTTTTTTTAGCAAAGACGTAGCAGAATACATTTTGGCCTAAATTTATGATGAAATTTGAGCTGTTTTATAGCAAAATGTAAAAAAAAAAAAATTCTCAAAAAGTAAAAAATATTGTTTTTTTTTCTTCAAACTTATTGGTCTTTTTGTTTATAGCGCAAAAAATAAAAACCGCAGAGGTGATCAAATACCACTGAAAGAAAGATCTATTGTGGGGGAAAAAAGGATTTAAATTTCATTTGGGTTGCATGATCGGGCAATTGTCAGTTAAAGTAACGCAGTGCTATATCGCAAAAAATTGGTCTGATCAGGAAGGGGGGTAAATCCTCTGGAGGGCAAGTGGTTAATGAAGCCTTAAACTTCATTAAAGTATCTCCATTGAAGAGGTAAATAATAACGTATTTAAGTTCATTTTAATGATACAATTTGATTGACTTGTCAAAAAGGGATTGAGAATCTTCACTCATAAAGTAAGAGAATTAACCAACCAAGTAAAAGTCATGTTTGCTTTTTACATTTGCAGCAATTTCCTTTTTTGTGATTGGAAAATTAAAATTTTGTCTTAATTTACGAACATAGATTCTCAACCCTTTTAGTAAACCAGTCTCATTGATTTGCATGTCTGAAGTGCCGATAACCCAACTACTAAAGAACTTAAATTTCCTAAAATTGCGTGATGACAACTTCCAATGTATTATGCAGGGAAGCTCCGCCATACGATTATTGGAGGTCAAGAGGCAGAACCACATTCACGGCCTTACATGGCATATTTACAAATTGGTGGGTTCGCTTGTGGAGGCTCGCTTATTGATCCAAGATGGGTGTTATCTGCAGCCCACTGTCATGGGTAAGTGACAGCATACTATCCTCACATTATTATCCAGTGTAAAATACATAGGGTTCAAATGCTTATATGGAAAGCGCTTTATGGGGCATATTTGTAAAGCACTGAATGTGACATTTAGCCTGGGTTCACACTGATGCTGTGCGGAATTCGCAGCGGTTTCTGTGTGAATTCCGCACCGCATCACAATCACACACCCCATTCATGTGAACCCACTGCGGGTGTGTATGTTAAGTTGATAACACCCCGATATTGGTTCACAAACACTGTGCAATGTGCAGAATCAGATCGCATGGGCGTGAACAGGGGGAGAACTGATCATTTGGAAACTCGGGCACTGCCCGAGGGCCCGGGGTCAGTAGGGGGCCCCATGAGATGCCCCTGGCACCTTTTTCAAAGGCTTTTTTGAGTTTGGGCAAGGACACAGGGGCCCCATGATCACCTATTGCCCAGGGGCCCCATGAGTTGTCAGTCCACCCCTGGGCATAAATACCCATGCAATTCAATTCTAGTGCGGACCAAAGAAAGGGTTCTCCACCTTTTTGCTGCAGATGCGGTTAGCTCTGGTGAGTTCATTTAATCTCCTTTGGTGGTGGATTTTTCACAATTGATTCAAGTCACTGAAGATCTACTCTATATATATATATTTTTTTGGACACTAATATATATTTTTTTGGACACTAATTTATGTTTGGTCACTATAATTATTTATTTAAAACACTAAATTTTTTTTGGATGATGATATACACCTTTGTATAAGTTTGTTATTAGCGCATACCTTTTTAATTAGGATTATTGTTGCCAAAATTTATTTTGGGTGGGACATGCTTCTGACACTTTGGAGTTTTTTTGTAAATGGCGCTTTTTTCTTTTTTAATTTGGTATACAAAATGTATGGCTCAAATCACAACGCACAGAATTCACATGTGATTTGCACAGGAATGTGGTGCAGTTCCAGAGCGAATCACATGTGATATGTCGCACTGCATCAGTGTGAACCCAGGCTTACTGAATATTCACTGCAGGTGAATTCTTCACTGTAGTTTACATCATATGCACCAGAAAGATACACCTGCACTGAAAGTTTGCGAATGTCAGAAAAATATATCGATTGCTGTCACAATTAACAAATTTGGGCTTACATGCATTTAACTAGTTCAGTCATTAGATCAATTGTTTTTATTGTCTCCACCTCTTCAGTCTCCGCCGGAATCACTAGCCTTCTGAACGACATATCAGACTGGATGTCATTCCACTTCCTCAAATTAAACCTTGTAAAACCGAGCTCCTGGTTTTCCCCCCAGCCCGCGCCCCCCCCTGCCCTCTCCATCACGACCAACAACGCCACCATCAGCCCCACCCCGCAAGCCAAAGTACTAGGTGTCATTCTAGACTCCAGTCTGTCTTTCCAGCCCCAGGTCCAATCGCTGACAAATTCATGCAGGCTCCACCTCCTCAATATCTCCAAAACACGTTCGTTCCTAACCCCAGACACTACTAAGCAACTCATTCACTCCCTTATTATCTCACGACTTGACTACTGTAATTCCCTCCTCACCGGCTTACCTCATCACAGGCTTTCCCCGCTTCAGTCTATCCTGAACTCTGCGGCCAGACTTATCCACCTTACTAACCGCTCCGTATCCGGGACCACCCCTCTGCCAATCCCTCCAATGGCTTCCGATTGCTTAATGCATAAAATTCAAAATATTAACATTAACCAACAAAGCTGTTCATAACATTGCCCCAAACTACATCACCGACCTGATATCCATCTACCACCCAAAACGTACTCTCCGCTCCTCTCAAGACCTCCTTCTCTCCAGTTCCCTGGTCTCCTCCTCCCATGCCCATCTCCAGGACTTCTCCAGGGCTTCCCCCATCCTCTGGAACTTACTACCCCAATCCATAAGACTCTCACCTTCCCTCCTCACCTTCAGGCGCACCCTGAAAGCCCATCTCTTCAGAGAAGCCTACCCCACCCTCACCTTATTTGCTGATCTCCTCCGCTCTTCCCACCACTCCATCCCCCATAGCTATTTCCTCCTGTACCACTCTCCTCTCCCTCCTAGATTGTAAGCTCCAAGGAGCAGGGCCCTCAAACCTCTCGTGTATTATATTGTTACTGTACTGTGTCTTGTACTGTCTGCCATTATAATGTACAGCGCTGAGCAAACTGGCGCTATATAAATACTGTATAATAATAATAATAATTCTTTGTTCTCAAGTGAAAAAATTCTTCATTTTTGGCCATGAAATTTCTTTAATTCCAAGAACACATATTTTCTGAAAGTAGAGGGCCTGTAGAGTAAAAAGATAGTTGCGATTTTTTATGTTGCCTGATATTTGTGCAACTGTTTATTAAATGCAAATTTTCAGCAAAAAATATAATACCATGAATTTTAGTGCAAACACACACCATATAATACCCATTTTGTGGTAAAATATAAAAGATGAGGTTGCATCAAGATACCTTACATGCCAAGACCATGCACCTGTGACATCGCAAAAAACTATGCCACCCAAAAAATCTTCATAGGTGTCACTCTAAAAGCCTTTCCAGCTCATCAATTTAGACTTAACCAAGAGGTCTTGTGGTAAAATGATTGCCACACATGTGGTGCAATCACGGTTTACATATGTATCTGCACCCTGTTTATATATGTCTGTGGAGCAACAGGGGTTATGGGATGTTCTATGAAGAAGTTACCGAAGAATGTTCTATAAAGAATTTCCAGAATGTTCTACAAAAAAAGTTCCACAATGTTTTATGAAAAAGTTGTATGAAAAATGTGCGGGAGGAATGTTCTATCAAGAACTTCTGGAATGTTTTGTGGAAAATGTTCCAGAACAATGTTCTATACATTCTGGAACATTCTATGAAAAATGTTCAAGAAAGCTCTATAAAAGTGTTCTATGAACAAGTTCTAGAAGAATGTTCTATGAAAAATGTTCCATAATGTTCTATGAAGAACTTCCGTAAAGTTCTATGAAAATGTTCCGGAAGAATGTTCTATAAATAAATTCAAGAATGTTCTATGAAGAATGTTCTATGAAAAATGTTCTATCAAGAACTTCCAGAATGTTTTGTGAAAAATATTCTGGAAAGTTCTGTGGATAATGTTCCGAAATGTTCTATGAAGAAGTTGTGGAAGAATGTTCTATGAAAAATGTTCCAAAATGTTCTATGAAAAATGATCCAGAGGAATGTACTATAAGGAACTTCTGGAATGTTCTATGAAAAATGTTCTTGAATGTTCTATGAAAAACGTTCCAGAATGTTCTATGAAGAAGTTCCAGAAGAATGTTCTATGAAGAAGTTCCAGAAGAATGTTCTATGAAAAATGTTCCAGAAGAATGTTCTATAAGGAACTTCTGGAATGTTCTTTGAAAAATGTTCTATGGAAAATGTTCTGAAATGTTCTTTAAAGAAGTTCTATGAAGTTCTAGAAGAATGTTCTATCAAGATATTCCAGAATGTTCTATGAAAAATGAAAAAGCTCCTGTAGAATGTTATATGAACATTTTTTCGGAATGTTCTATGAAGAAGTTCCAGTAGAATGTTCTATGAAAAATGATCCAGAATGTTCTATTAAAAATGTCCCGGAATGTTCTATGAAAAATGTTCTAGAATAATGTTTTGTGAAGAACTTTCAAAATGTTCTATGAAGAGGTTCTGGAAGAATGTTCTATGAAAAATGTTCTAAAAGAATGCACTATGAAGACGTTCTTTGAAGAAGTTCCAGAAGAATGTTCTATAAAGAAATTCCAGAATGTTCAATGAAAAAATATTCCAGAGGAATGTTCTATGAAGAACTTCTGGAATGTTCTATGAAAAATATTCTGGAATGTTTTATGAAAAATGTTATGTATGGTTAGCACTTCCTCCTGGCAGTACTAGGGTCGTTGGTTTGAATCCCAACCACGGCACCACCTGCCTGGAGTTTGCATGTTCTCCCTGTGCCTGCGTGGGTTTCCTCCGGGTACTTCAGTTTCCACCCACACTCCAAAGACATGCTGGTAGGTGAATTGAATCCTGTCTAAATTGTCCCTAGTATGTGTATGTATGAATGTGAGTTAGGGACCTTAGATTGTACGCTCCTTGAGGGTTAGGGACTGATGTGAATGTACAATATATATGTAAAGCGCTGCATAAATTGACAGCTCTATATAAGTACCTGAAATAAATAATAAATAAATTATGTAGGAATGTTCTATGAAAAATGTTTTTAAATATTCTATCAGAAATGTTCTATGAAGAACTTCTGAAATGTTGCATGAAAAATGTTCTGGAATGTTCTATGGAAAATGTTCCAGAATGTTCTATGAAGAAGTTTTAGGAAAATGTTCTATGAAAAAAGTTTTAGAATGTTGTATGAAAAAGGTTCCAAAAGAATGTTCTATAAAGAAAATGTGAAATGTCCTATGCAGAAGTTCTGAAAAAGTGTTCTATGAAAAATGTTCCAGATTAATGTTCTATGAAGAACTTCCAGAATGTTCCATGAAGAAGTTCCAAAAAAATGTTCTACAAAGTAATTCCAGAATGTTCTATGAAAAATGTTTCAAAATGTTCTATGAAGAAGTTTCTAGGAAAATGTTCTATGAAAAAAGTTCTAGAATGTTCTATGGAAAAGGTTCCAAAAGAATGTTCTATAAAGAAAATCTGAAATGTCCTATGCAGAAGTTCTGAAAAAAAATGTTCTATGAAAAAATATTCCAGATTAATGTTCTAAGATGTTTATGTTCCATAAAGAAGTTCTATTAAGAAATTCCAGAGGAATGTTCTATGAAAAATGTTCTAGAGGAATGTTCTATGAAGAAGTTTCGGAATGTTCTATGAAGTTCTATGAATAAGTTCCGGAAGAATGTTCTATAAATTCCAAAATGTTCTAGAAAAATGTTCTGGAATGTTCTATGAAGTTCCAGAATAATTTTTATGAAAAATGTTCCAGAGGAAAGTTCTATGAAGAACTTCCAGAGTGTTTTGTGAAGAAGTTCCGGAA